AGCAGAGGGTCTACTGGCTTTTGTGTGTCATTTCCTATCTGCAGGGTCAGGTCATCTTAGGCCAGAAGTGGCTTTCCTTCTGCCTTCCCATTCTGCTTCATTTGCACTAACCAAAGCCTCCTGCACAGCGCCCAGCAGGGGACAGGAAGGCAAATCCTGCCTTGCTTGTGACCTATGGAGGAGACTCCCTGCCACCCTCCAGCGCGGGGTTGGCTGAGGGCTTCTCTGGGTGCTCACCTCGGGGGGAGGAGGGTTGCTCTCTTCCTGGCAGGTGTAGGAGACCATGTGGGTTTCCTGATTCTCTGCTGGAGAGGTGCCACACATCCACTGGTTTCACAAGGTGGGCAAACCCCTTGGCCAGGGCAGCACACGCCTCGGTATCGGCTGCTGAGGTTGGTTTGGTATGTAGTTTTCTTCGCAGTGTTATCTTTGTCATGTTCTCATATGGTAACACTGGTTTCAAAAGAATGAGCTGGGAATTGTCCTCTTCTGATTTTGGAGGAGATATCTGAAGGACTTACATTAATTTTTCATTAAATGTTTGGAAGAATCAACCAGTGAAACCATATAATGTGGGGCTTCTCTGTTGGTGTTTTGCTTTTTCAGTTACTAATCCAATCTTTTTTATGCTTGTTTCTTTTTCTTCTTAAATCAACTTTGAAAGTTTGTATCTTTCTAGGCCTTCATTTGTTTTATTTAAGTTGCCTAACTCTTCCATATAGAAACCACACAAAGGTTGGTTGAGTTTCTACACACTTGCAACAAACAATCCAAAAATGAATTGTGGAAAAATTCCATTTATGACAGAATGAAAAAGAAAAAAATACTTAGGATTTAGAATGAAAAACAATAAACATGCTTCAGGAAAAAAGTATCCAAGGAGGACCAGATATATACCCTGAACATTGCAAAACATGGTAGAAAACAAAAAAAAAAGTTTAAATAAATGCAAAGGCATCTGTGTTTACAGATTAAAAAGGCTAAATATTGTTAAGATGGCAACACTTCCACAAATTCATAGTATTCCTTCATAACACTTCTTATTTCTGCAAATTCTTAGCAATGTTCTTCCTTTTGTTTATGATTTTTATAATGAGAGTTTTCTTTTTTCTTGGCCAATGCAGCTAAAGTTTGTCAATTTTATTCATCTTTTCAAAGAACCAAATTTGAGCTTCATTGGCTTTATTAATTTTCTATTCTCTGGTTCATTTATTTCTGCTATAATTTTATGATTTCTTCCTTTCTGTTCACTTTAGATTTAGTTTCCTCTTTTCCCCCTTTGTGTCTTAAGATGTAAAGTCAAGAGATGTTTTGAACCCCCTTCTTTTATTTTTTTTAACATTAGTGTTTACAAATATAAATTTTCCTCTGAACTCTGCTTGGCTGCAGTCCATCATTTTGTTAGGTCTTGTCTTCCTTTTCATTATTGTCAATATATTTTCCAGTTTAGTTTGTACTTTTCTACTGTGTTTTCCAGAGTGTGTGGTTTAATTCCCACTGACTTGTGAGCTTCCCGAGCTTCTTTAGGCTCCTAATTGTTGCTCTCTTCCCTGGTGACCATGCCACACTTGCTGATCTCTATTGGGGCACTGTGCTGTTTGGTGTGTGGCTGAGGACATGCCTGTCCTGTCCTGTCCTGTGTCCTGGTGTCTACAGCATGATCTGCAGGGGCAGCAGGACTGCACTCACGGGAGTCTCTCCCACCAGCTGCTGCCATGTCTCCCTGCTTCCATGCCCAGCTTACCCTTTCTGGTCTGGGGGCCAGGTGGGGGACAGCCTGCAGGTATCTCTGATACAGAGACAGGGCTTCATGCTACAAGGTTTCTTCTGATCTCCAGGAGTGGAATGGTCTCTGGCCATCACTCACCCTAAGTCTTCTCTGTTGCTGCAAGGGGTAGAGGACACTGCAGATGCAGGGCTACTACGCCCTGGGCCCCATCTGGCCTGTTCTGCTCCGCACCCCTGTCCCATGGGTCACCTCTGCCGCGGACTGTCCACACTTCCCACCTCACCGCTGGCCAGCCCGGCCACATGACCCAGGCCCACAGGATCGCCCTTGCTTCCACGCATGGCCCTGCTCCCTCAGGCTCTGACTTATGCCTGGAGCTGCCCTCACCAGCCCATTTTTCAAAACACCGAGGTACCACTGTCCCCTGAGGGCATGTTCCTGTCTGTCATCGTGTGTCTGACTGCCCTGTGCCTGCAGAAGGATGTTCACTCTGTTTCTCAAGGCACAACACGGTCTTCCCACCAAAAGCTCTCCCCTGGACAGGTGCTGCAGCAGGCTGATCCTCACTGGAGGGCTGCCTCGTGGCCTGAGAATCCGGGAACCACTGGAGAAGAGACATATGGTTCTGAGGTTCCCGGCTGCCCCAGGACAGCCCACAAGGGCAGGCCCTGGCCATGTTCTCATGGACTGGTTACTCCAACCCTGAGGCCTCTATGCTACAAATACAGCTATTTATTTTAGATCATGAGCGGGCTGACCTTAACTCAGCATTGCAGGGACGTTTGATCTCTGATTATTCTTATAAGTCAAAAATCAGGCAGTGTTGAAGGGTACAGGGCATCTGAGCAGATCAGAGGGCTGTGCAGATCCTGTGCTGCACCTGCCGCATCTGCTGTGAAGTAAGATTCGTATTGATGGTCAGATGAAACACACGCTGTCTGCTTCGGCCGAAAGACATCAGAGGGTTGGAAACAAAAGGACCAGTCGTCCTCAGGTCTGTGAAGTCAAGGTCATGTTAAGTTAGCAGAAGTCCTGTCTTTGATTCTTGGCAACAACTGATGTGTGAATGTTTCTGCACAGGGATTTTCTTGTACAGGTTATCTTTTCCATTCTGGCTTCTCAGTTCTGGATGCATTCTCCACCAACCTGCTGTGGAGTTTCTGGCCACACAGGGAAGGGAGCTTGCTGCTGTGAGCTCACCGTGCCTTGCCACCTGTGCCAGGTCCCCTGAAGGCTGGCAGGGGCTGGGCTCAGGCTGTCGGTGCCCACGCACACCTCTGTAGACCCTCTGGATGCTCTGTCCTCAAGGCAGACTTGAGAACGTCCACAGGGATGCGACAAGCAGCACGTGCCCTTGTCTTTCTCCCCCAAATCCAAGAAACTAGACAGACCCCAACCAAAGGGAATCATACAAGACACCCAATAGCATTCCTTACACTGCCAAGTTCACCCAAAGCAAAGAAGTCCGAGCAGTGATCACAATCAAGAGAAGCCTAGGGAAACGACGGGCAGGAAGGGAACTGGAGCACAAGGGTGCATCAAAACGGGCTCACTGACACAGCTTGGGAGCTGCTGAGGACAGAGGAAGCTGGTGGGGCTCACCTTGACATTGCACCTGCAGCCAGCGTATAATAAATCCCATTTTCCTGCAGGACTCAGTCAAATGTGGCTCTTGTGCCCCTACCACCCCTAAGGAAGAGACTCATGAGAGGGACTCTTGGCAGTGTCTTCATCCTGGATCCCGGGCCTTGACCTCTCTGTGACCTTTAGACCTGGTTGCATCCCAGTCTGGGGACCATGCCTCTCAGGAATCCATGTTTACTTCCAGCTGGGTAATTACCCCCCCAGGACCACTCCTGGGGGTACCCCAGGGTCCCTAGCAACGACAGCATCCAACTCAAGGGGGTGAGGTCCACTGAAGGTCAACAGGAACCCAGGCGACGCCTGGCAGGAGGAGGCTCTAATCTCAGAGCTGCAACCCTCATCTACACCAGGTGCACAGCTCCGGGTTAGATAGGAAGCAGCACCAGTCCTGCCATCCATGTGAGTCTGTCCCCCTACACCTCTTTCCTTTTGGACTACCCATCTATTTATTGAGGGAGGGAAGGCTGCTTCTGAAAAGAGATGTGTTTTTGCCCTGATCTGTTTTAATGTTAAAAGAAAGATTTCATACTGAAATCACTTTGCTCTCATCTTTCATGGTTTCCATTTGAGATTGCAAATGCCCAGGGGCTTCACAGTTCTGCTCTGAGCTCTGGGCTGTTGGTCAGGCCTGTGGCTTGGCCTTTGGGTCTTTAAGGGAGCCACATGGTAAGGCTGTCCAGAGTCACCTGCAGCCTGAAGAGCTGCAGCAGACAGGCTGTGGGGCTCAGTGGCTGCAGCCGCTGGGGGCTTCAGAGACTGGTATTGGCTCATGGCAGGCCTTGGCTCTTGGCTGAGAGGCTGTGTGTATGGTGTGGGTGCTGGACAGGCTCAGTGGGGACCTGCATGGGGGAAAGCTTTCCAACCCTCCGCTCTGCAGGGGTGAGTGTGGGGCCCTTGAGGGTATGTGGGTGGCTCAGATTTTGCAGTTGAGGAGGGTCAGGCTGACCACAAGAAGGGCTGTCAAAAGCTTGGAGCATCCTATTCTTGAGTTCTACCCATAGGAAATAAGGTCCCCACCTCTCTGTAAATCAGCAGTGTCTGTTCATATCTGGGTAGCACATACCTCCTTATTTAGAACAGTGTGCTGTAGCCCTCTCTTCCTTGTGATCCCTGGGTGTGTCCCTCCCCTTGGAGAGTACTGCACATGTCTCCCTCCCTGAAGCCTGGCCCACCCCAGCCAACATGACTCATCCTCTCTGGGGCCCTGAGGTTGTGCCTGGTGGCAGCTTTGCCCTCAGCAGGCCCAGTGGAGGCTGGCACACGATGCACACCGTGAGCGCAATATCTCTAGATATTGTAGGACATGTTCAAAATCAGCGTGAACAGAAGCCCATGCTGTGCCTTCTGTGGGTTATGGAGGGTGCTGCCTGGCACAAAGAGGCAGGGGGTGCTGTTCTGGGTTGGTGTCTACAGAGAGAAGAGCTGATGTGATGCTCTGTCTCCCTGGAGGCAGGGATGATGTCGCCATCTTTATTGCTTTGTTGTGTGCTTTCTGCAGCAAATGTGCCCTCCGAAAACATTCCTGGTTTCAGCAGGACCTGTTCAAGAGGCCAAGTCGGTGTCTCTGCCCTGTGCCCTGTCTGCCAGCCACAGCTGTGTTCCAGTGGCCCCTGGGGCTCGCCCACCAATGGCAGCCAACAACCACACAGCTGTGGTGGAGTTTGTCCTGCAGGGTTTCTCTGGAGACCCTTGGCTCCAGGTTCTCTTCTCAGCCTTCTTTCTCCTCCTCTACCTCATGGCTCTGGCAGGAAATGTCATCATTGTCATGGCCATTGGCCTGAATCCAAGCCTTCATACCCCAATGTACTTCTTCCTCACAAACCTGGCCTTTCTGGACATCCTTTGCACATCCACTGTCCTCCCCAAGCTGCTGGAGGGCCTGGTGGCCACCCGGAGCACCATGTCCTATGGGGGCTGCATGGCCCAGCTTTTCTTTCTGACCTGGTTTCTGGGGGCTGAGCTGCTGCTGCTCACAGCCATGGCCTATGACCGCTATGTGGCCATCTGCCAGCCACTGCACTACCACACGCTGATGAGCTGGCCCATCTGCATCCTGCTGGCAGGCGGTGTGTGGGTGGTCAGTGTGGTGAGCACATCTGTACACACAGGCCTGATGGCACGACTCTATTTCTGTGGTCCCAATCAGATCCACCACTTTCTATGTGAAGTCCCCACGCTGCTGCTACTGTCCTGCAGTCCAACTATGCTGAACAATGTCATGATTGTCATCGCAGATGTCTACTTCGGCGTGGTCAACTTCTTGCTCACCATGCTGTCCTATGGCTGCATCATCGCCAGCATCGTGCGCATGCGTTCAGCCGCTGGCAAACGCAAAGCCTTCTCCACCTGCTCCTCCCACCTGCTAGTGGTCACGCTGTACTACTCCACCGTCATCTACACCTACATCCTCCCAGGTTCTGGCTCCTCCTCAGAAAATGGCAAGGTGGTTGCTCTGCTGTACACAGTGGTCAGCCCCACCCTGAACCCTCTCATCTACTCCCTGAGAAACAAGGATGTCAACATGGCCCTGGGGAGGGTGTTTGCCTGCACCTGGTAGATGAGGGAAGGCAAGTGAACTGTTCCAGCTAATCCTAATGTCTGACTGAGATCTGAAGCCGTGGCAAGCAGTAGATCTATAATAATGGGACTCCCAGAGGGCCCCCTTCCTTCCGTGTGATGTGCAGACATCTGAAGCCTGAGGGTGGAGACCCTCAGGGTTTACAACGGGGAGAGGCAGGAGAGCTGGGAGAACGGGGAGAGCAGGCCACTGCTTCTCCCTCCTCCCACCCTGGTTGGGCTGCTGTCCAGTTGGAAGCCCCTGGAGCTCCTCTGTGTGGAGTGCTTCTGGCCGTGTCCTCCTTCAGGGTTCAGGCTCAAGGGATTGCTGTGGACCAGACTTACCCACCCTGTCCACAGCCTGGTACAGTGTCTCTGATGGCTGGTCTCGATCCGGCTTTGGAAAGCCACCCAGACCTGGTATCCAGCTCCCTGCTCTTGGTGTGATCGTGCAGAGGACTGGGGAGCGTGCTCCTCACTGTGACTGTGAGGTGGCAGAACTGCAGTCTGGCCTCCCACACCAGTGCCCTGAAGAGGTAGTGGTTGTACTCACTGCTCTTTTCTGGGACAGGAACACCCTGCAACCAGGACCTCTGTCGCTGAGGCGGAGTGCTTGTGGCTCCCACAGCATTGCTTCTGGGTTTCCTTCCCTCCTCCTTCCATCTTACCTCTGCATCTGGCCTCTGAGGGAGGGACACCGAAGGGCTCAGGCAGTCAGGACAGATGGTGCCTGAGGAGGTTGGGGGCAGGGCCAGAACAAAGAGCAATTTCCTGCTGGTACAAGTGCTAGGGACACAAGTGGGGGACCCAGGCACAGAGACTACTATACTTGTGCCCCCAAGCAGGGGACCCTATAGAAAAAACCCAGCAGACACACGGACAGTGGGGGCACAAGTCAACAGTAGTGAGGAGAACGTGGACCGGGAGGGAGATAAGGAGAGGAGGAAATTCCAGAGACCGCAAGAACAGGCCAAACTCCCCCATGGACTCCCAGCTCTGGGCCCTTCTCTTCAGAGAAGTCCATCTCGGTTGCTTTTTCAATGAACCTGCCGCTTGCCTGCTGCCTCTGGGTCCTGTTCTTGCATTCTTTGCTGAACAGTCAACAAATCCACACCCCTGGACAGTAACTTGAATGCTACTGTTCCTGGCTTGCCTGAGATGCCCTCTCCTTCTCGTCTCCTCCTGGCACTGTCTTCTAGGCTGTGACACTCCCTGCCTTCATGGTCACTGTTTGCCAGTGACAGCCAAAGTGCCGACACCTCTGTGCCTCTCCTCTGAACCCCACCTGGCTCTGCAGCTGCTCTGCTAACGCCCAGCTCACATGGCTGGTATAAGGCCCCATGTCCACCTTCAGCCCTGTCTAGTTGTGACAGCCAGTTACTGACACTTCTTGACTTCTTTCCTGGATGCTGTGTGCGACCCATCCTCAAAGCCTGTGGACCTTGCCCTAGCCCTGCCTCCCAACCCTTCCACTGGCACCCCTTGCCATTCTTGAGGTATGTTTCTTTATAACTGTCGCAACATTTACAAAAGGTTTCAAGCACAGCAGCGTTGGCAGAACCCTGGAGTGGACACTCAAGCACCCATCACCCACCTTTTCTACCTGTGATTCCTTGCTATGTTTGTAAACTTTATTTACTCCCAAGTTATCTGTTTTTGTGCATTTCAAAGCAAGCTTCAAACATCAGTACATTTTGTGTGGGGGTACTGGTGATGCAACCCAGGAGTAATCTACTGCTGAAATATATCCCAGTCCTTTTATTTTTTATTTTGAGATGGAGTCTTGCTATGTTGCTGAGGCTGGCCTCCAACTTGGGATCCTCCTGCCTCATCTGGCGAGTCACTGGGTTTACAGGTGTGCACCACCATGACAGACATCAAGACACTTTTTAAGTATTTCTGTGTGCATACCATTAGAGTTCAACATATATTGATAGGGCCCTTTTTTTACTTTTAAGGTAAAATTTTCAAACAACGGACTGCATAAGTAAGGGCTTGCATCACTGTTTTGACACATGCACACATTAGTGTAAATCACACCCAGCAGACCAGGGTGACACCTGGGAGGCTGAAGGGTTCCTGCTGCTGTTTCCAGGCTGCCCAGGGCTGCCCTCATGAGTGTCATCGCATCTCTGGTCCTCTACTTCATTATCGGCATACCTCGCCCTCTACTCGACTACCTGGCTCGCCCTGCCCTGTACTTCACCCCTCATGCCTCGTTCCACCTGTAGACTCTGCCTGTCATCCCACTGGCTTTGCCCTGCACTCTGCTCCCTAGCTCCACCTGCCTCATCCTATCCTCAGTCATCCTGCCTGCCCTGTCCTCTGCCCTGTCGTCCTCCTGCAGGCCAACGCTGCTCTCCTACTCATCCTGCTCCCCCATTCAGCCCTGAGTCCTCTGTCCTCCACCACAACTCCCCTCTGTTGTCCCTCCCCCTGCCCCTGAACTCTCCTGCAGTCATCTGGTGTTTCAGCCATAGGCCAGTTTTGAGCCTTTGGGAGTTCCTGTAAATAAGACCACACAGGCCACATTCTCTCACGTAAGGCCTATTTATTGCATAATTTTTCTCAGATTCGTGTGTGTATAAGTGGTTTTCATTTCTGTTAACATTATATTCTATGAATACAGTGTATTTCTTTATCCGTTTGAGTGTTGATTACTATAGACTCTAATTCTTTGCTATGAAGAATAAATCCTCTCTGCACAATTATGTACAAGATATCTGATGTCCCTGTTTCTCCTGGTGTGATTGTGGGTGGCATTGCTGGGTTGGCATGTGTATACTTAGTTTTATTAGGTATTTTCTTCCAAAGCAATCATGCCATTTTAATATTGCCAGAGATTTATAGTTGCTTCATAACATCACCTAGACTTAGAAAAAAAATTTTAAAAATGAGGTGGTAATTATTCAATCCTTTGCCCACAGCCCCCAATCTTGCCCTTGGGGTGAACTTATGTGTTTGGGATTGTCTGGCCTCTGGATTTCTTCTTTTGAAGCAGATAAACTTCCATAAACCTGCTCTTTACTACTGCCCCATTGACATCCTACAAACTTTTAGAGTTCTGTTTTCACTTTCATCAGCGTCACAAGGCTGACACACCTCCCTTTTGTATTCTTATTGATGTGTTATTTAGAAATACATCATTTAGTTTCAAATATGTGGGCATTATCCTGAAAGCTCACTTTCCCTGACTTTAATTCCACATGGTCAAAAACATACTTTGTATGACTTAAAGGCTTAAAAACTTGCTGAGGCCTGTGTTAAGACCCAGTGTGTGGCCTTTCCTGGTGAAGGTCCCCAGGGTCTTGGATAGAACATGCGTTCTGCTCTTGTAGGGTGGAGTGTGCTGTAAGCCTGAGTGATGCTCCCCATGAGGGCCTGGGTCTGTCCCCAGGTGCTGGTCAGCTTCCCAGAGGGTCCTGAGCTCAGGCACTGGTTCTGCCGAAGTGGGGAGGTGGCTCTCCCTAATTGGTCCCTCAGGGCCTGGCCCCTCCCTGTAAGCCCTTGCCTCTGGCTATTACAGATGAGACAGGGCTGTGATCCTTGTCACAGGTCTCTTACTGTCCCCACACACAGCTGCAGATGTCTCCCACAGTTCCTTGATAGTGTTTATTTTGAACCTGTTCTGTTTCCCAATGAAACCTAATGACTCTTTTTCATGGTAAAGAGAAGCAAGTTTCTTGAGAGGACAGGTGAATTTCAGGAATATTTTACCACGTTCGTAAGTACCTGCTCTAAGGGGATGCTGATTCTCTGTATCCTGTATTTGACGAGAGATGATGATGTTTTGATAACTGTGGTGCGGTGCTGTATTCCACACTGACCACAGCCATGAGATCCCTCTGGCTGTGATTTCTGAGGGGGCAAGTTCTCAAATCCCAGGTGAAATTTCACTTTCTTATCTCACTGAGCAGCCTGGACAAAACGTAGCATAAAATCTCTGGTGCTGGTGGGTGCTCAGTCCTGCCTGCAGACAGGCTTGCTCCTCCAGCCTCAGCAACAGGGGTTCAGTGAGGTGACCATGACTGCCAGTGCACAGGTCATTGTGAGGACCTGGGCGGCCCTGGGTGGGTGCTGCTTGGATGTGACCCGGGAGCATTTGGTCAGTTCTTCTCATTCCTCACCCACTGACCCCTGAGGACAATTTTCCCGAGGACACAGAGCTCAGGCCTCTGGGAGTTTGTGGGTGACCGCCTCCCCAGTCATGCTTGGTGCCGGTGGGCTGTGGAGCCAAGCAAACTGAGCAGGAGGCCAAGTCCTAAACGGTGCATTCGCTGGGATGGGTGAGGATAGGGGGTCGTTTCAGTGGCTCTCCCTGCAGGGTCTGGGGCTCAGAGGCACATTTATACCCCCAGGGTACTGAAATCCTGCCTCTAGTGGGTCTCACACAACTGAAGGGAGGAGTATTCAGAACAAGCAGGGGCAGTGCCGTTCTTTCTTTTACAGTGGGGGATCAGAGGTGTGGGGCGGAGCAGCTGCCAGGTCTCCACACCCAGGCGCTTTGGGATGAACCAGACGCTGGTGACCGAGTTCACCATCCTGGGGTTTTTGGAACCTCCTCGCATGCGAGCACTACTCTTCCTGGGCTTCCTGGGCCTCTACCTGGCTGCCCTGACGGGAAACCTGCTCATCGTGGTGGCCATCAGCACCAGCCCAGCTCTGCACACGCCCATGTACTTCTTCCTGGCCAACCTGGCCGCAGTGGACATCCTCTGCACCTCCACCATTCTGCCCAAGCTGCTGGGCAGCATGGGGGCTGGCAGGACCATCTCCTATGGGGGCTGCATGGCGCAGCTCTTCTTCTTCACATGGTCAATGGGGGCAGAGCTGCTTCTTTTCTCAGCCATGGCCTATGACCGCTTTGTGGCCATCTGCCAGCCATTGCACTATGGTGCGCGGATGGGCTCTCGGGCATGTGCTCTGCTGGCCGTGGCCGTGTGGGCCATCAGCCTCACCAACACCAGCGTGAACACAAGCCTCATGCTGCGCCTGCCACTC